AAAATTAAAAATTGCACAATTGTAGCGCAAAGAGATTTATGATATTTTACCTGCCGCTTAAGTATTCATGAAACGTCACTGGGAGAAATTTTGAACTAAATTGGAGGGTATATGACTGTTTAATAGCCGTTTATAAATGATCAACGCGTAAAAACACAGCCAAAAATCGGAACGTCATTGAGCGTCATGGAGCACTGCACTACGTAAAAATTGTGTATGCAGACTGGAAAATGTCTAAAAAGAGATTAAAATGTTCAAGATGCTGCCGGGAATTTCCTACACCTACAAAGGACAAGTTTTCAAATGGTTTAGCTTCAAAAGAATGGAAGGATTAACATTTTGAATGATTAACTCCATCGATACTTCAATACCCCCGTATCGCATAGACGTTGTGTTGCGCCTATATGGTTCTGCATAGTTTCCATTCCTGATCGATTAACTGCATAGACTTTTTTTAAGATCTCAATAATATCCGAATCAGTACAAAAGACATTATAGAAGAAAAGTAACTTGTCTTGATATGGATATTTAATTTTAAAGTAGAAAAAAGATCCGAAATATCTGAAGAAATGAAAGATTTATAGAACTGAGACAAAGCTTAACGGGTTGAAATCTGGTTGTCACGTCGCCTTACGTCAAGTGATGGCTCCGTGAATCCCATGACCTCATAGTGAAAATCGTTGTAAATTTTCAAGATTTTATAATATGGACCTGATTTTTTACATACCAATGAACAAAATGTAGGAATTTATTCAGACATAGATCATACTTCACAGTACACAACAGACTTTCCGTAATTCAATGTGTCCGCGAAGTTTTTTAACGACCCTCGTATATGAAAAATCTTTAAAAATCTTCTTCTAAAGAACCACCGAGCCAGAAAAGCTGAAACTTATGTGGAAGCATCCCGGGGTAGCGTAGATTCTAATTTGTTCAAATCATGATCCCCGGGGGGTGGGCGGGGCCACAATGGGGAATCAAAGTTTTACATAGAAATATATAGGAAAAATCTTCTTCGCAAGAACCACTGGGCCAGAAAAGCAGAAACTTATGTGGAAGCATCCTGGGATAGTGTAGATTCTAAATTGTTCTAATCATGTCACCCCCGGGGGTAGGACGGGGCCACAATGGGGAATCAAAGTTTCACTATGTTGAATCAAAGCATCCTATGGTAGTGTAGATTTCAAATTGTTTAAATTATGGTCAGTTGGGTAGGATGGGGTCACAATGTGTATAACAAGGGGAAATCTGGTAAAGAACGGAATGTTCAAAGCTTCTCAGGTGAGCGATGTGGCCCATGGGCCTCTTGTCAAATTTTTTATCTATTTTTTTCTAATTTATTTCAATAAAATAAGTGACAGTGATAATCATCGTTTCATCATGAAATAAAAGACCATTATTTCAAGAGTATTGTAATTTCTTTTTGTGCGTACGATATTTGGTGGTTATTCATTTAAATATCAATAAGTCAGAGCATAACTGATTTAGCTCTATCTGAATATGCAAGATATAAATGTATAATACACAGGCCATTTAGCAATGTAGTTGATTTAGCGGACTCTGCTTTTCTTCAATATGTGAATCAATGACAAGGAAAATTTGTTCTTGTAAAAGTTTATTTTGGTTGAACTAAAGTTAAAATGAAAACAATTAGTGATCGAATAGTGGGCGAAGACACTAATCGTAAAATGGCTCGTGATCGTATAGTGCGGCCCAGATGAGAGCGCTTGGTAAAGTTAGACTGTCATTTTTATAATGTACAATACATAATACTCATTGACATATGAAACAAACAAGTCAGGTTGAAGTAAACAAGTTATACAATAAATTTGGACAAAATCCTAGAACTTTATAAAATAAATTGTAATTTAAACATAAGCTTTAGTTAAGTGTCCTGTATTGTGCAAAAGTTAATGATAATATTAAAGTAAGTTTTGCAATGTTCCCTTACTGTTCCTGTATTGATGTCCGAAGATAGATAAAACATCCTGGTAGGTTACACTGTCCTTAATCCGCTTAACATGTTTGTTTAGTTTTACGGAAAAGTCTTACTCTTTCATATCCCGATTGGATTATAGGTCAGTGCACTCTATCATAAGTACATTTTAATCAGCTTATTTGTATGATTAATATAATTGTCTCAAATCCTATAGGTTTACAAATATTGCTAAATAGAATACACCGCTAAATGTGTTATATTTAGAGTAGGAGTTTTATATTATATCGGAAAAACACTACTGGGCTTAAAAGGCGAGAGCTCGAAATTTGAATAAACATACTAGCATCCCTATCATGCGATTTGAATGACTCTCATGTTTATCATGCTTATAGTATGTCTATAGTATTTATGATACGGAATCAGTTTTCCGTCATCGCTGAAAATAAACCAAACTGTATCGTTGATTTTTTACAGATAAAACACTGTTAAGAAACGCGCACAAAAAGTGTTCTGTGTATCGCAGTTATTCAACGGTTGACTCTTTAATTTATTTACTGCTCAGGATAAACATCCAATGGCATATTACAAATTGTACAATTATATTTACATGATATTGTATGACAGGGATTATACAACAATAATAATACCTTTACAGATTAACAAATGTAACAAATACAATATGCATGTAAAGTTTACAGATAACATACAGATTAATTATTGGCAATTCCTTATTTCAAAAGCTTTTAAAATATATTTACTAAGATAACAGAGTTCTTTGACAGCATTAGTACTAATGAGCTGTATAAATTTAAACACAGAGGGGTTACTCTAATAATATTTCTTATTGAATTTTTTTCGTTATTCTAAGTATTTAGGACATATGAGTATTAAATGATTCATAATCTACATCTTTACGTGATTTACAAATTGGACAAAATCTTTGGTCTCTTGGGATCTTTTTTTTTGCCTGCCAGTATTTCAGTTGCGATTGCATAAAATCAGTGGGATAATAAAACAACTCTCTGCAAAATAATCCAATTGGTGACTGTGATAATCATCGTTTCATCATGAAATACGTAAAAGACCATTATTTCAAGAGTATTGTAATTTTTTTTGTGCGTACGATATTTGGTGGTTATTCATTTAAATATCAATAAGTCAGAGCATAATTGATTTAGCTCTATCTGAATATGAAGATATAAATGTATAATACACAGGCCATTTAGCGATGTAGTTGATTTAGCGGACTCTGCTTTTCTTCAATATGCGAACCAATGACAAGAATAACAATTAAACACAGTTTAGAAAGTATAGTCAAGAAACGTCCACAAAAAGTGTTCTGTGTATCGCTGTTATTCTACGGTTGACTTTGTAATTTATTTACTGCTCAGGATAAACATCCAATGGCATATTACAAATTGTACAATTATATTTACAAAGAAAAGGAACGGTTGTACATATGAAAGAAAAAAAAAGTAATAATGATATTGTATGACAGGGATTATACAACAATAATAATACCTTTACAGATTAACAAATGTAACAAATACAATATGCATGTAACATACAGATTAATAATTGGCAGTTCCTTATTTCAAAACTTTTAAAATATATTTACTAAGATAACAGAGTTCTTTGACAGTATTAGTACTAATGAGCTGTATAAATTTAAATCCAACTGGTTGACAGATATATGTACCCAACATACACATTTAACTTAGAGAGGTCATCAGAAAGGTCATGTCACGAGTCATTTAGAATGTATCGGAGATACAGGGCGGGGCCCGGCTCGGGCTATCGGTCTCCAATTAAGCCCCACCCTGCATCTCCGATACGGTAGAAAACTCGTACTCTAAATATAACAAAATACACACATACTTTCATACATGTGTACAGTATGGTATACTGTGTCAAGAATATTGTCGTGAAATATACTGGATTTCAATAAAACTTAATGTCTTGTAACAGTGTATGAAAAATATAGTTTATCTTTTATCTTGTAAATATGCTATTACATATACATGTGTGTATAATTAACCATCACAATAACAATCCACTTCAATATCTAGAGATATGATATTTGAAGTCCTTTTACAATTCATTGTGTTGTTTGTTGGGTAAATCAGGGCGTAACCTGTATCTAAAGTTGCCAACATGTAAAAGATTTGCATAATGAGGCAAATTAAGAAGTTCCTTGCAAACAATTAAGAACACTAACGCTCTCAGAGAGGAATCAACTCTTGTTTATTATAGCCTAAAAAATAAGTATTTAAAGTATACATATGATTAACTGAATGTCATACATTTACATAAAAAAGTATTTCATAATTGACTTAAATAATGGACAGTATTAATTTATGTATGTACAGTTCAAAAACAATGTACATGTATGAGTGTATAATATTATGATGTCACGAATAACATCTGTAAATGAATTGTAGACAGTAGTCAGGTAACAACAGAATCGTTCCATTTCGTATCTAGAAGTAAAAAGTTAATTTAAAAAAAATGAAAAATACAAAAACAGGGTGAACATCATTTGCTTTCAAAATCTTGTCTCTTTATGATACTACTGATACTCAGTTTTTTTTGTCAAGTTATAAATATTAATGTACTTCGAAAACTTCTTTCGGGATCTTGAAGCCGGATGGAAATTATCACGGATTTTGTTACTTAACATGTTAAGATTGTGGTGTAGGTTGCATAATATTCCTGCACAATTACGTGATCAATACTCGGTTAAATAAGAACAATGAGCCTCAATATAATCAAATTACATTTCGACTTCGAACACAATGGATCGATTTTTGAGTGCTTTTCGAAATCAACTTAAGTACAAATCTTTTGGAAGAAAACCTATTTCCATTGTGATTGTTCAAAGGTATTCCTTTTTTTAATTGCCTGTATATCAATATACATTTATTGACATATTTTTTGAGGTTTATTTCTGATTTAAGGAGGCTGGGGGGTCAACAAATTAACCACCAGATTTAACTTAATTTTCTAGATATGAAATCTTAAGCTACAACTATAAAACATGATTATAATTTACATATTTCAGATATATACGTAATTTTCATCATCATCATGAAGAGAGACTTGGTCATCTCTTTGGTATGTATGGAAGATTTGTGGCGAGACATCCTGTTAAAATCTTGGCCATCGCCATCATCGTTAATCTTCTCATGGGATTAGGCATGCTTAATTTTTATGAAGAGACTAACTTGGAGAAACTCTATACACCCGAAAATAGCCAAGCTTCACAAGACTGGGATAAGTTGAAAGGTGTGTATCCCCATACCCCTGATTTCTACCCGCATAAAGGTTTGGCATCCTATGCAGAAGTACTTATCATGACCAAGGACAAAGGAAATATGTTGACGTTACCATTCTTGGATGACGTCACCTCTGTTGATAGATTTGTTCGCACCTCGATCTCGATCACAGTTTCTGGAGAAGAGTATAAATACGAAGATCTGTGTGGCAGAGCAGAAGGATCTTGTGTTGTCGACGGTGACATTTTCTTAAGCACCGACTTTAAGGAAATGATGTTGGCAAACAATATCACATACCCAATATTCAAAGGGAAATCTATAACTTCCCTCCTTGCCAACCCAACCACTTCAGATGAAATCCTGACGTCAGCAATCGGAGTAAAACTTTCATATCACCTCCTAAGCTATCATTCGGCAGAATGGGAAAAGGTTTTTATTGAAGCTATTCCAGCTGCTGTTGTGAATGTTTCAGAACTGGCTTTTTCGTACTCTTTGGCAGCAGATGACGAACTGACGGAAAACATTAAGGGAGACATAGTTTTGTACGTAACGACATTGCTATTTATGATGATTTATGCATCCATTGCCACCTCAAATCTGAACGGAAATTTCATAGCAGACAGGGCTGCTCTTGGCCAAGCAGGGGTTTTAGCGGCTCTTCTGTCTATATTGTCTTCCTTGGGTTTTCTGAGTCTTGTTGGAGTAAAATTCGTGAATATTGTAGGCGCAATGCCATTCCTTGTCATAGGTGAGTAAATCCAGAATTTTTTTAAATCTGTATAAATTGTGGAATAAAAATGAACCTGTCTGTACGCCTGTTTATAAACGATTATTTGTCTAATGGACATAAAAAAATAATACCAACATAGAGTTGATCTTCAGGATACACTTCTAGATGTTAATCAGTATATATTTGTATAAAAATCTTTTCAGGAATCGGAATAGATGATGTCTTCCTTCTATTATCTGGCCTTGCTGATGCTGAGTCGATAGAAACGACCACAGTATCGGATAGAATTTATTACATGATGAAAACAAGTGGAGTCGCAATAACCATAACATCAGTAACTGATTTTCTAGCCTTCTTAATCGGAGCCAGTTCAGTATTCATAAGTGTCAGAAATTTCTGCATTTTCACAGGTAATCTTATATTTATTAGATGAATTCAATTTCTTTGTGTATAAAGGTATTTACTTATAAGGATTATATCAAAAGACAAGCTGCAACAGCTTATGATCCAGTAGAATTGTTTTTATATTTTGTTTTATAATGAGGTCTCGAATTTCTATTAATGTTTTACCCTTACATATCTAAACTTATCCACTACAAAAAGAGATTTTGCATGTTTACTTGTGAGATGAACGCCAAATGATAAATGGTTTTATTTTCAAAATAATTTTTAAAATGCATCTTGGTTAGTTAAAAGACCGATAATAAATAACACATCACCACAATTCAATTTCTTCGTCCGCAAAAATGGGCGTCATGTTACATTTAAGCCCTTAGAAATTTTTGGTTGGTTTCACCATTGCAAGTGAAGGGTGTAGTGATTAATTATTAAATTTATTTGGGTTTAATAAAATTAATTCAGATTAAGTTAAGTATGTACTGGGAATACCGAATAACGTTTTTATGCCTTGAAGCCTTGTATGTAAGAAAGACAAGGGGTGGGGTGGGGATGGTCCTGAAACAAAAAAAACGATATAAAACCTTTGAAATGATTTCAGCTGATTTCTTTTACACATGTATTCTTGTGTTTGATAATGATTAAAAACGTATCCAAATATATATTAATTTGTAAATGTAAAATAAGATCTTCAATCACATAGGTCCTTCAAACATAAAATTTTTTTTTTTTTAAAGCAGATTTTATTAACATTCATATTTTTTGCCGTTTCAGGAGTTGCAGTGCTTTTTTGCTACATCAATCAAATCACAATTTTCTGTGCATGCATCGTTCTCAATGAGAAAAGGATTAAAAGCAATCGCCATTGTTTTGCTTGCTGCGTAAAAACTAAGGACAAAAACTCACTCAAGGAAGATGGGAAAACCGGGTTTTCACTTTACGCATGCGCTGGATATGCACCAAAACATCGGGATGATGTCGACAGTCCTCTTGAGAGATATCCCAAAAGACTCATTCAAAAGATTTTGAGTTATACGGTGTTAAAGATTGCAATCATTGTTATTTTTGTGATTTATTTAATATGTTCTATTAATGGAGCGGTTAATATACAGGAGGGTTTGTCCCTACGAAATCTTGCCCCAGAAGATTCTTTCTATTACAAATTCAACAGCTGGTTGGAAGATTACTTTACAAGAGAGACTTTTATGTCTTTTAATGTGATGTCTACCCAGACGTATTCATCTTCACTGACACAGGAAACCCTGGAAGCAGTGCTATCTATGGCGAAAGACGATAAGTACATCGATTCCTCATTTGAAATAAACTGGCTTGATACCTTTAAGAAATCTGCCTTGTATGTTAACTCATCAGAGACAGAGTTCATTTCTGCTCTTCGAACTTTTTTGATAACTAACCCAATTTATGCCAGTGATGTAGTATTTGACTCTTCTGGAACGGCCATTACAAACTCTCGATTTTTCCTGAAAACCATTGACATGAAAAACACTGTTGATCAAGGTCTGATGATGAAAAGCATGCGAGAAGTGGTTAAAGGCTCTCCCATTCCCATGATTGTGTATGCTCAAGCTTTTATTTATTTTGAACAGTTTATCCAAGTTCTTTCAAGCACCTTGCAAACTGTTGGAGTTGCTATTGTTGTTATAGTAATTGTTACACTCTTCTTCATGCCTCAGCCTTCATTAGTCCTCCTTGTTGCCCTGTCACTGCTGAGCATCCTCCTTGGAGTGTTTGGTTTCATGTATTACTGGGACATCTCCCTGAGCTCCATTACTATGATACATCTCATCATGACGGTGGGATTTTCTGTCGATTTCAGTGCCCACATTTGTCACGCCTATCTTAATGTTGGTTCATTCAACAGAGCCACCAAAGTCGACCTCGCTCTTGACAGATCTGGAGGACCAATATTTAATGGAGCATTTTCCACACTCGTTGGTATTTCCGTCCTAGGATTTGCAAACAGCTATATCTTCGAAACATTTGCGAAGGTTATGTTTCTTGTAATATTTTTCGGACTGATACATTCAGTCCTTTTGATTCCCGTTGTGCTATCATTTATTGGGCCAGTGAAAGATAAAGAAGAAGCCATGAGAGAAATAGAAATCCGCACCATACAAAGACAAACGTCAGTAACTAGTAATACTAGCGCTAAAAGTGACCAAATTACTGGACAAAATTCAGTACCAAAGAATACTACCGCTGAAAGTGACCAAAAAATTAGACAAAATTCAGTAACTAGTAATACTAGCGCTAAAAGTGACCAAATTACTGGACAAAATTCAGTAACTAAGAATACTACCGCTGAAAGTGACCAAAAAATTAGACAAAATTCAGTAACTAGTAATACTAGCGCTAAAAGTGACCAAATTACTGGACAAAATTCAGTAACTAAGAATACTACCGCTGAAAGTGACCAAAAAATTAGACAAAATTCAGTAACAAGTAATACTAGCGCTAAAAGTGACCAAATTACTGGACAAAATTCAGTAACTAAGAATACTACCGCTGAAAGTGACCAAAAAATTAGACAAAATTCAGTAACTAGTAATACTAGCGCTAAAAGTGACCAAATTACTGGACAAAATTCAGTAACTAAGAATACTACCGCTGAAAGTGACCAAAAAATTAGACAAAATTCAGTATCTAGTAATAGTAGCGCTAAAAGTGACCAAAATACTGAACAAAATTTAGTAACACCTAATAATAGCGATTAAAGTAACCAAATTACTAGTAGTTACATGTAATAGGCACAACGGTGTCTGATACATCTGCTTCACATTTCCATATTTTTCAAGAGAAAGACATTGATGGCAAACTAGCCACTACATGTAACCTGTCAACCAGCTCAGCTTAATTAATGAAAACTTTTTCACAAAGAATTAAAGAGCAGGCTCATGGGAATCATAGACAACTGCCTCCTAAAGAAAAATGAAACCTGCAAAGAACAGTGGATGCTAACTCATGATATTCACCTACATTATACATCTCTTAATTCATTATAAACAGCATTTTGGTCATTATGCAAACGCAAAGAAGAGTTCAATATTTTGTATTTGAATTAAAATTTTAAAGCGTGTGCCATAAAATAAATGGCTAATTTTTACGACGGATTTTAAGGGTAAAGAATTTGATCCATTGAAAACAGAAATGAAGCACCACCAAAATTTCAAACAAACAGAAAGTGGATAAATGACATTAAAATCTTTCTGAATGTTTAGCTAATCTATTATTCAACAATTTGAATTGATTGTACATTTCATATTAAATCACTTTTGAACACAAAAACTTTTGTTTGAATTTCATTATTACAATTCATTATACTGTGGAAAGGAATGTTGGTTTTACGAAGATGTTTTAAAATATTTTCTGTTTATCGTTGCTATCGTTCACATTTCTTTTTATACATGTCATCTATTGAATCACTTTGTCAAAAAAGTGATCTATGATCTACATATAAAGTACTCTGCTGGGGTTGATATTGAAAATATGCTGGGATTCCCATTGACGATATATTTGTAGTTTTTTGAGACCAGATCTTCATCAACCTGCAGGAATTCCGATGGGCACTCACTGTGCTCCTTCAAAATTCAAACTACCTTTTTTGAGATTCTTATAAAAAAGAATGTATTCAAAACAACTACGTTAGAAGAAGAAGAGTCTTGCTGTAGCATAGCCTTCAACTAGAATTTTGTTTTTTATGTTTTAATTTCAGTTAACAACTCAGTATATTATCAATATTGACGGTGAGGTAAAATACTAAATTAGCTATATACAACTGTAACAATAAAAATGACTCGAGATTCTCTTTCGTCAACTTTCCCTACTGTGGTTATTTTTCAAAATAACCTGCAGATGGTATTTATGTGTTCCTTTCTTTTCACACTCCAATTAGCTCCCTTTTTTGGTTATCCGTGTTTTTGTCATGTGTCTGGGCAGAATCGATTTTTTAATATTTCATACTTGAATGCCCGTGTGGAATACTTATAACAGACACGTTAATGTTTTCTGGAACTTATTAATTATAACAATTTGTATATAATAATTATTAAAATTTGTTGTAAATGCGTTTTGATATTCCAAGCTTTTCACCAACAATTTCGTTATTGTTTGTAGTGATATTACTAAATGTGACACCATAAGATTTCATTTATTAGATTTATTTTCTTGATTTGCTTTGATTTAATGTATTTTGAGCCTAAAATAAATTTAAATAATTTTTTCATCAGAATTATTTCTGTGCAATAGAATGTATAGTATTATATGAGAAACCAATTTGTACAGGACGACAATAATGTAATTTTGCTTCAATCAAAGTCTTTAAATTGTTCTTCCAGTGCAAATAAAATTTAAACAACAGAAGTTTTAAACTTTTTCTGTCATTGAAATTACAATATTGCAGCCAAAATTTCAGACATCATAGCTCATATTGCTTTAAGTTTGTGTAACACATAGAGTTTCTGAAAACAACATCATGTACTTTTTAACCAAGAAATAAAAATTGTGTATATTGGCACAACAAACTATTTTGATTAGTAGGTTAGAGGTCAAGTACAATGGTCCCAAGGTCAGCAGCCATAGTATATTGCAAGAGGCGAAGTGTCATGCAAGTACATGATAAGTTATAATGTAATTAAGTACAATTTCCAGTTATTTAAATGAAGCATACTATCCTACTATTGGTAAACCACCATGTAAACGGATGTCATCTATTGCAAGGTCGCTACTGTAGTGATGAGCTGCATCGGCCTCAAAAACCAACTACAAAGAGAATTTACCGCATTTTATGCTATTGTTTACAAGTATTTTTCAGCATTCAAAGCATTTTGTAAAACTTGACTTTTATCAAAGGTATGTGATTTTTTTCATTATGAATAAAACCAGTTTAGTCAGTTAAGGTACAAATGTTATATAAACCATTTTCATTTAGAATTCAGTCAATATATATAAGTAGCTATACATTAATTTTACAAATGGTTACAATCTGTTGTGAAAGAATGAATCGTTTAAACGTCCACATTTGGCCCCCCAAATATTTACAAAAAAATAACTTTCAGATTTTCTACATAATTTTGCCCCGATCTTTCCATTAAACATTGTAGTTTATTAATTTCAATTTAAAAATTTGCTTTCATTAACTGTAATTAGGTATTTTTCTGTTTAATATAGCAGGGGTACGTTGTTAACATCAATTTCTCATAGACTTTAGGCCACACCCCCATTTTGTAAGCCCCTTTTTTTATATGAGCGCATTTATGTTTCAATTTGCCGTTTTTATGGACAACGTAAAAAGTAATACTTATCATTTACATCCATGAGAGAAATTGAAACAATCGTGCGCTCATGTGTTATTTTCCCAAAAACCTCAAAATCACGGGTACTTGTCTCTATAGTAAAGCTACCTTGTTTACAAATTTCAACCCGTCTTTGACCTCATGAATAACAAAGGATTGAACACGTGATTTAAATCTATTCACTTTCATGCTTTGAGCACACCATTTCGACATCGTGTCTAGAGTGTCTGCGAGCTATCCATTGTCAAATTTTATTTCATCGGCTAAAAATACTTGGACAACCCTTCTACTGTATTTGAAGAAACATGTATTTTGGAAAAGTGCATACTTGATATATCTATATGCTAGGTTGAATTGTTTTATTTACCTGTTATTGAGCGTTATTTTTGCCAATTTCCGGTTTTTTTTTTCTTTCGGTAAGTATCTATCGATCTACTTCAAGGGGGGGGGGGGTATAGCATACATCTGTTACTTAATCACTGCATATATTTATTAAACATAATTAAAAATTCTCTTTAGGTATCGTTGATTCCGCTTTTTACTGTGTTTATATATTATACACGTGCGTCTGTTTCAAGAAAACTCTCACTTAAACTGCTGGAAGTTATTTAAAGTTATAGTCCCTTTTTTCTGTTAAAACCGTCATTATACACTGATATAATCGGAAAACACTTACTAGTATTCACCATGCCTAAAAGTGTAAACTGTGTTGTTTGTAAAAAGCGCATAAATAAATCTAATCGAAGAACCCTCAAGGAAAAAAATAAACGAAGTACGGAGGACTGAATTAGCGCGTATTACGGGAGGAAAGGTCACGGAGGATGACTACATCCGCACAAAATGCACCCTCGATATGAATAGGGGGAGCTTCAGTATTTTATTCTAGGGGCAATGTTGATGTTAAAACATTTTACATCGGCACAAAGTCACACAAATATTGTGCTATTTGCAGATCCCGTAAAAGGTCAATGAAAGCTGTTTCTAAGAAAGCTGCACACAGGTACATTGTATTTCTTATACATAATGTTATATTGCACGAAAAAGCACGTGTATGCCCCTCTCACTTGTCCAATGAACGCATGATTAAAGATCAATATTATCCTGACTTTCTATCAAAATTCAACCGCATATAGTATATATTTGTTGGAACACTCAGATTTTTTGCAAAATCATATGCTATTGATAATGAATTCTACGTATAAAAAACTTTAATGAAATTATTATCGCTTTAGAATTAAAATAATTATCCCTTGAGAAATAAGCTAGGTTACTGTAAAATCTTAAAAATACTTACCTAGTCCTAAAAATACCATCTTTTGCAAGACATTATGTTTACAGAAACCATATCATTGTGTTTACATTTTATTTCAACGAATTTCAAAAATAATTATTTCATTGATATGCTCGTTTAAAAGCCAAGCAGTAAAAATAAAACCTAAACCTACCAAAATTATTACATATTGTCGGTCCCAAGCCTGAAAAAAAGGTGAGGGGTTTTAAGATTGTTTAGTTAATTAATAAGATATCACTTAAAAACTATATTAAGTACACGTCGAACACTCGATAATATATTCACACTATTCGCACGCTTGATTGACGCTCCGCCTCCTTATTTAAATAATACAGTGACCTTTATATAGCCGCAATGGCGAAGTTGAGATTTGGCACTGATGTATGCAATTTTATTTCATTGATATTATGTATATATTGAGAGTCTCTCTATCAAAAAAGATTTTGAAGTGTTTGTATTCATACCATACTTGTAGATTCTAGTAAAATATGTCAATGTTCTGATTTGAAAAGGCAAAAATCCGTGTTTAAAAAGGGGCCAGATCGCAATGTTATGAAGAGTCATTCTTTGAGCAATTTTACAAAGATAAGGAAAAAGAGCTCCTCTTTTTGAAGGAAGAACTGATATGGATATACATAATTTATCAATCTGTATACTGTATTCAAAGAGCGTTCTAACTTCTTTTATATATAATACCATATAAGTTGAAATTTTATCGAGACACAAATTAAGCTATTTAAGCTATTTGACCTTTAAAACCGGTATTTTATATTTAGCGAGAAGTAATTTTAGCGATTCTAAAATGCTTCCTTAAGAGGCTATTCCAACCAAAACGGGATTGATATTTAGCGATATTTAATCTCAGCACTCTCGAGCTCGCTAATAATGCCACAACCAAGTCCTCGATAAAAAATTCTGCTTATACGGTACATTGTATAGAGAAAGGGCGGTTAATCGAAAACAAAATGAACCTTATAAAAACCAACAGGAAGCGTTATATGCGCCTGCTCCCAAACAGAACTCTGTCTCCCCGACTTAATAAAAAGTTGCTGTTTAGTTCCATCAGCAAACTCGCGATATAGTTTTAGATGTCCAATGTTGGCGCCATTCATATGATACCAGAAAGTCATGTTCCTTGGGCTATCGATGTTGACATAAGGACTATACATACGGGCTGTCCAAGTGTTGTTTCGTGCCTCGTGGCCTTTCAGTAGTAAGTAGAAATCCGCTAAAATGATTTTTATTTAAAATTAAAATTGTTTTTAAGAACTTTTTTATATTTACTTTAACTAAGATTAATACTTTTAAAAATTGCCTTCTAAGTCTTTTTTTCAATCTTACAATCCTAAAAATACTTTATTTTTACAAAAAATTACATTTAAAAGATTACCTGGCTATAATTTGACTTTTTCTTATCTTGCCACCCTACATTTATTTTTTTGTTCTAAGAATAATGTTTTATTCTAAAAATATGGCTTTATTTTGAAAATCTCTACAAACATAACTATGTATTGCTTTACTTGTATTTTTATGATCAATCTTTGGACCGGAAGTAAAGTCAGGAGAGCTTCCGTACCACCTATGCCAATCCAACTGGTCCCTGGAATCCTGAAGCCAAGAACACATACCTCTGTTGAAGGTACAATCAAGTGTAACCACTAAAACAAAGAAGTGACCTAGTCATTAAAAAATCAAGTGAAGGCAAAATCAACTTTAATCGGTAAAACACAGAAAATGACTTTGTCATAAGACAATCTACCACCAAGTATGATTTCTAAAACAAAGAAAATAATTTAGTCATTAAAAAAATTCCGTGAAGGCACAATCAAGTGTAATCATTAAAACAAAGAACTAAGAAAATCTAGCTGAGGTACAATCATGCAAGTGTAGTCACTAATACAAAGAAAATGAACTTGTTTTAAAAAAGTGTATATACATGATTGTATGCAGTCACTTAAAATGACATATTCATTAAAAAATCTAGTGTAATCAGTAAAACAAAGAAATTATTATGCATACGATTCTGTGGCATTTGTTTCAGAGAAGTTAAAATATGTAGGCAAGTTATTCACATTTAAAAAGTGAATATTCACTACAAGAATATTTTGAAAGAAAAGAAAATGTGTATTTCTTTATTTCTTTAAAATGTTCCGAATTTAAATGCGCAACACCCTAGAGGTATGTTTAAATATTCATTATTTGAATATGTGAAATTAATTCTGCAGTAATGAATTTTATAACTTTTTGAAAATGTTAAACAAACGTCTAATATAATTCCATAAACTTACGTGGAATTATTGGTATTAATGAAGTTGACGTCATTTGTGTTGAAGTTATGGTTGTAAATAATGGACTGTGTGTTAATTCTGAAAAAAAAAGTTTAAAAAATCTTTTCCATTATTTCAAAAGCTATTGAATTCAATGAATTGTCGAAATCATTAACTTTTATATGGTTAATATTTATACCATAGGGTTCCTTGGAAACAGAAATGTCATCAATGGCGATATCAGAAGAATAATGGAGTCTTGTTGATCCTTCAAATATAACCTGTATTAAGGCATAATGACTTTTCAAAGTACATGCATAATAATACTTTTAGTGTGTATATATTTTTTCTCCAATTTTAAGTTCTCAGCCTCTCATGATATGGAATTAGCAATTTAATGTCTATAAATCATAAAATAAAATCATCAATAAATACATATATATCTCATGATAAAAAAAATTCCACCTTTTAAGAGAGTATGTTGCAGGATGAAATAAATGGAGAAAACGAATAGTATTCAAGCTCAAAATTCCATTAACCGATACAAATTACATGTAGGAGCAGGGCAAAGAGGTGGGATTAGGAGTCAGTATATCATATTATTCCCGATTTCATCTAATGCTCGAAACTATATGATAGATGCTAGTTTGATGTTTAATTTTTCTTCAGATGTCGATATTTTCTCCTTTTTATGAACAAAAATTCATAATCTATAAACATTTTTTTTACAAGTTTGGATCATTATAAGGACTTGAAATGGTTTTGAATAAATGGTATAAAAAGTTTAGATCATTTTAAGGACTTGATAAGGTTTTGGATAAATGGTATAATTGGGTGTTGAAATGAAAATTTCTTACACTAAACAATTTCATTTTCAAGCTTCTTTTTGAAAAAAAAAATTCCAATAAATGGTAGTGGTAAGAGTTATTTGTTTTTCCAAGCTAAGTGATGGAATTAATTAAAACTGATTATATAAATCCCAACAAGGGTATGACTATTATACGTGAATATGTTATAACTACCAATTTTGGATTCTCTTTTATAAATCTTTTTAAAAAATTTTGTCATTTATCTTAGCGCAGTATTTTTAATCACAAAAAGCACTTTAGATAAAATCGTATATGTACAAGTGCCACTCAAATTTAAGAAATATTTTTTTTAACTTACATGTATAAGGACAGTCATAGATTAGCGCATATAAGTATTGACGACAAGTAGGAGCTTTTAGTTATAATCATGTATCAGTGTATGCATAAAAACAAATACGAACTTCAAACATGAGACAAAGTTTAAGGCGCTATAATATTACATACGCTATTAAGTATACGTATGTTTCTCTGTTTATTCTTGAAAATTTTCTAATTGTTATTCCATTATCAACACAATGAAATGGTAACGACTTTTTCCCGTGATTTCCCGATCATGACAATGAGTATACGGGATGCTCACTCCTCCATGGCACCTGATTGCACATCTGATGATTAAGATGTACTTGTTTGCTCTGCTCCAAAATTTATATTGTTTAATGTTTTTTTAAAGCTTAAATACTGTTCGTTATCAACATATATTTCACAAAGTGGGTGTTGTGACCCTTTCAACTTTAATTTATTTTGTCCACCTATTAACTTTAAAACGGAGTTACGATTCATACAGAATTTTGATTTTGATGCAGCCTTGAAACAGGGGTAATAAGGGAATTAAGTACTGTTCCTATAATCCTACTCGATCTTCATTCATTGAAATTAATTATGCATTTAAAAAACTTAAATTTGGGTGGGAGGGGAAAGGAAGGAGAATATCTTGTAAGTGGGTGTTGTGACCCTTTCAACTTTAATTTATTTTGTCCACCTATTAACTTTAAAACGGATACGATCATACAGAATTTTGATTTTGAAATTATCTTCATTCATTGAAATTAATTATGCATTTAAAAAACTTAAATTTGGGTGGGAGGGGAAAGGAAGGAGAATATCTTTTAATAGAGGATAAAAAGAAATTACATTTATTACTAAACAATCACCTTTTGAAAATACTGTCATATATCATCATAGACTAAGATTAATTACTTGAATCATTATAACTTGTTGAAAAGTACCCATTGTCATCTTTACATAACATCCCAGAAAAAAGAGATGGACATACAGACTTCAGAAAATAGAATTATAACCTTTCCTCAATTAAAATGTTACCCCATTTGTTAATAGGGATAAAATAAGGCAAAATCTACCAGGAAGCCATAAAAATGTATTCATTTTAGATTTAGAGAAAAGAGGATCGCAATAAAAAAAAACAATAGAAGTTTATGTGAAGATAAATTAATCTTAACATAAATAATCCTGTAAAACCACAAATGTGTAATTAGCAAATTGTCATATATTTAACCACAATGTTTTATTTCAAGGGCCATGAACTTTTACCTGAGTTTTCTGCAAATGTGGAATGACAAATTTTCTTTTTCAGGTTTACAAAATAAATAAATATTGTAAAGATATTTTGCAAAACTAAAGGATTTTTTTCCAGAAAGATGGTTGCATAATGCATATTGCATAATTAATTGTTTTAAACTTGTTCAGTATTTCTATGTTTGTTATTAAATATCGAAATAACAAACTGTATTCAAGTTCAAAAGTATAACTCTTACGACTCTCCTATTCTTTTTGAGAAAAATTGTCTTAAGAACATTTCAAACAAAAAAGACTTACGTAGGCAGTGAGGTCATCTAGGGCAAGAATAGCCTGGTGCCACCCTGGTCCTTGTCTACGAGATTTGGTCCAGACAACCTTTTTGTTATCGTATCGGTCCACAAATATAACTCTCAGTTCACCAACACCCGCCCCATTCATATGGTACCAGAAAGAGAGGGTAGCGTTGTCCAGAATGTAGAATTCGGGACTTCTTATTTCAGCTACCAGAGAGGAGTTGAAGAACTCATGACCATCTATATAAAGGTACTGGCCATCTACAAAATTAAATACATTATGTAGATGGATTCGGGTTGTTTTTGTTCAATTCCATTGTGAGTTAGAAAACTTTATTTGAACTTTGTGAATGGGGTTACGTTTATAATTTGGGGGATTTTAATCTAAACAGCAAATTTATAAAATAGGTTGGGAAACACAGAATGCCCTTTACTCTTTCAAACTAAATAATAGTGTGTGCTCATGTTTTGCAAAGAAGAAAATATCAAATAGGTAGAATCATTTTCAATTTAATAAAATATTCATTCATCAAAAAAGCTTTCGATCAGTTCATATTTTATTGATAATTTTTTTATGGGAATAATCATTTTTAAATAATTTGAGGGCAAGGTAAAATAGTATCAGAACAAATACAGCTTACTTCCTGTTGACGAATGGTCGCCGTCTGGACCTGATGATGGATCCAGGGTACTTCCTGTGCCAATTTTCCACTGAACTAAATTGCCTTTTACAGGAAACCACTCACAGGGGCCAGTGTCAAAGTTACACGACAACCCCAATACACCTACATTTCATATTAAGTACATTTAAACTCCAAACACTTACAATTTCTTTAAAAATACAGTTTTAAACTTTCCACATCCAGACACTTATTCAAAAGAAACTGACCGGCGGGTTTTGGAAATTTCCCGACAACATCTTAAACAACTGAAAGGAGCGTAAATTTAAGATTTAAAAACTTCATTGTGTTAAACAAGATTTCGGAATAAACAAGATCTGGATGAGAAAATATTTACTGCAATAATCTTGAAAAGATCACTGATCGAAATACTTTAAAAAATGAAATGCATCAAACTTTGAAAACTTCGTACAAAATAAGTCAATTTAAAATTCACAGTGTTGGAAATCAATACTTCTGTTTAAGGTCTCATAAAGCAAAAACAATCATGAAACAGTGTATAGAATTGCAAACAAATTTAGAAAAGTATATCTTAACATCCTATTCCTAAAGTATATGTATATGTTGATAAAATAAAAGCTTAATATACAGGGAAAGATATCAAATACGCAAAAGATATATCACAATTTTTATGCAGTGCATATACAATTATTATTTTTTTATTTTCTAGAGAAATCCCCAATTGTTAATATGTACATTTACAAGACAGTTCATTGAATTTCTCAAATTTCTTTTTTCGAAACTGCTAGAGTATATGCTGTATAGCTGAAAACTTGTTGCATTCTTCCCCTAAAACATAATGAAAATGTACTCACCAAAAACATAACTGAAAATTAGTACAAAAGTGTACATCACGTGTGCTAAATTTGTAGACTACAAAGATCTTAGACTGATAGATGGTTTGCCCCTGAGCAGACGACAGTAAGGTCAACAAGGTCATTTGTAAGTTGATAAGGAAATAAACATTGAATGAATATTAAAATCGACGTGTGCGGGAAATAAATGCGTTATACATTTAGTCAATTGAAACGATTATGTGTAAAACCACAAGATAAACATAAATAGACATACCATTTACATTTTGTCCAAGGTCATTTTTTGTTTAAGGCAATGATATAAAAATTTTTACTTCTATCAAGGCTATTTCCTAAAAATGAAATGTATAGCTTAATTAAAAAATTTGAAAAGAATATTCTTTTTTTATTCATTTTTTCAATGAATAATCATTAATGCATGAAATAAATTAGTACATCTATTAATTAAATCCCACATTTTCTATGACTTTAAAATAAAATTTAAACCGTAAACGCGTTTAGTTTTAATTCAAACTAAAACTAATAGAACACAAGTTGATATATTTTTTTTCTTTGTTTGTTTTTAACGTCCCCTTGAAAAAAAATCACTTATACTGAGGGGCCACCACTTGCCGGAAGAGAGGGCTTCAAATTTCGACCTGTACATGAACTCAGTACTTAAGGCCTTTGAACCGACGGATATTTTTCGTGTCAGCACTGTTAGGGGACACGGGACTTCGTTTTATATGGTCTTATTTGAAGGTCATATGTGCCGAGTAAACCAGTATATGTCTAAAATTTGCATTCTTCCACCGAAAAATGTTGTCATCTAAATAAAAGTGAAAAATTATCGAAATTAATGGACTTTAAACAAACAATTTTACTAAGGTTTGATCCCCCCAGCCCTTATTAAATTATCAATCTTGTTATGATTAATAATCATTCTTATGATCTTTCATCCTTGAACAAAAAGACTATATTGGTATCATGTTTATATGCAAGGTTTGTAAAATAAATGTAATATTTATATATATAAATAAATCACAAGATTGAACTATAGTCTGTTCCAGATATTTTTGAATTTCACAATTAATTTTCAACTTCCACGATCAAGCGAGAAACGAGGCGTGTACTCACTAATAACTTAATGTACAAGGATTTAAAGGCAGCGTAAATTTAATGGTTGCAATAATGACTTTTTTTTAAGTAGATATAGCCAAAAATTATATCTTAAAGCGTTTAAAAGTATACTAATAGTTGCGTACATGTAGTTTATGGAAAAAATAAAAATTCATTTTTTTTCCCTTATTAACTCTTGTATTTAGCAATGTGTGCATTTATTCATTTTGATATAATAAATACAATAGATTTATATAAGCAAGAAAAGCATCATTTTTGATTTATTTTCTTAACAATTTGAAAATTTGTCTCCTTCGAAAAAAGAACTCGTTACGCGCGTTAGTTCAAGGTCCATGTATCCATTTATGTCAAAAGGAAGAGGATTATAAAATTATCGTTATGAAAAGGCAAACACATTACATAATGCTGATTATAAAAAAAAAGTCTTTAAACTGTTATTTAACTTTTAAATCGTGTCAATTTCGTAATTGTTACATAAGGTACGATACAAAATTTATTAAAGCTGTCTTTCAGCTGAACAAAGGTCAAACTTTTAAAAATAGGCATCTTATGTATATTTCACTCTTGAAATTAAAAGTAGACACCTGGTCCCAGGCCCAGGATCATGGAACATAAAAATTTGAAGCCCTTGACAACTTTATTGACATCTCTTTATTAGAGAAAATTTTTCGAATGGGATGTAAAAGAACACATAAAATCAATTGATCAGTCATGGACTTTGTTTTTTTGTTAGCCTTCAATTTAAAGTGAAATGTGCTCTTAATATTATATTTCCAAATACATTAGAAAAAATATATTAATTCGTAAATGTGTGTTTGTATCAATTGTCCTTCGCTGTGAGGCTAGAACTATTATTTAAGAATAATTGATGGTCCTAAATCTCACCATGTAAAACATCCAACGTTAAGTAACAAGACCTGAGTCATAGACTGATGTTATGATGTTATAAGTTAGAACAAATTGTATTTTATTGTTTTGATGTTGTAAGAAAAATCAGTTCAGGTTTTGGAATATATTACGACTTCTGTCTGGTTATTCTGCGATAACCGAAATGCTAACTATTGACTGCCCTTCCTCACACAGATTATGACTTTGCTTGTTGTCCCACTATATCTTTGCAAAACTTTGACTTGTTTATCTGAGGTCATATTCTTTGTTATTTACACCCAGTGCAAAATGTGAAAATGAAAATGATTTTGTGAATTAAAATGTTTTGATTTTTTTTCAAAAATACGTATTTTTGTTTAACATACAGTTTGTATTTTCTTATTTTTTGTTTCTTTGATGATTTTGATATTTGTATACATATCTTTTTTTTTTTACAGATATAATTACGTTTGCTGTATATATTATGTTGCCTCTTTAAAGGACTTCTACATGAGATGAAAACACTTTCTGTTGCTTTCAACTCGACATTCAGAGATGTTGACTTTTTTTAATCCATAATTAATAGTTACATTGTACACTTCGTTCAAATGTTGACTCGATAACGGCCAATTAAAAAGTAAATTTAATGACAAACGGAAGACCTGGGGGGTTATTGACGTTCTTGTTATGACTTATTTGTTGTGACTTATTTGTTATGATTTTTTTGTTGCTAGTTAAAACTAAGTGTAACGTAGCTATAGAAAACGCATAGCTTGGCTTACATTTATTTTTAATTTTAGTCCTATTTTAACTGTGGTATTTATTGATTAATTGTTTTTTTAATATTCAGTAAGGACAAGACTACTAAAATCTTATCTGTTCATAACTTGAAACTTAATTATGTGTTCATTCTTATTTGGTAGTTCTTGTTACTTCATGGTTATTCCTTAATTTCTAATTGTAACTTTCAGTTTGCATAATGATTAAATCCATGAACATTAATACTATTTTACCTTGTCGTTAGCAATAAGTTCAAAGACAAGTTATTACCTTCCTTTTTTCTGAAACTACACGTAAATGTAGCCTCCATCTCTCATGCCACTTTCTTGGGTTAAGTAAACGTGTGAAAACAACTTTAAAATTACAAGTATTATCAATTTTAAAAGTCATAAGAAGTAAGTCAAAACATCGACTTCCGTATAAACGAGATGATTTCAACTTTTCAATTAACTTTCTTTCTCTATAAGGTATTCTGCTATTACCTGCATATTATGACAACCTATTTTACCTAAACAGATAATCGTAATTATGCTATAATTACGGTAATTTTATAGACAGAGGACAGCTTATGACAAATAAGTTGAGGTTTTAAGGTTTCAAGGTGGCTTGGGTTGGTCAACAGGTGATGTTTACTCCTCCCAGGCACCTGATCCCAGCTCTGGAATTTCCAGGGGCCCGTGTTTTATGCTCTGTTTACAGATTTGTTTTGTTATTAGACTTTTTTTTAGAGATCAATCAATGTTCATAATCTTCATCTTTCAAACCTGGAAATAATCAAATAAAATGTAAAGATAACGACCATATATTATATGCTCAAAAGGTCAGGGTCCATCATTATAAAACATACTTAAGTCTGAGAATGCTCTCAAGTCTGAGAATTTTCTCAAATTCTAAATTCTCAGACTCAGCGGCCGTCATAAAAAAGTTGAGAAAAATAAAAAATACCTTAAACTCTTTAATTCTCAAATTCTCAGCTGAGTAACTCTCAAGAGTTGAGTTGAGAATTTTTTTTGAGAATTCTCAAAGTTTTATGACGGCGGACCCAGGGGCCCATTTTACAAAAGGACTTACGACTTAAGACCAAAATTAATTCTTCATATAACTTTTTAATTAACATTTTATCAAAAATTATTTTAAACGTTTTAAAAGGAATGTGGTAAGACATTTTTACACAAACAATTTCAAAGAGAATTATTAATTTTTCAAAATTTTACAATCATCTGAAGTTTTTGGTCTTAGTCGTAAGTTCTTTTGTAAAACGGGCCCCAGTGATCCAATACAGATCTAGAGTAGACCAAACACGGAGCTCTAAAAACATTAGACATGGAGTAGTAATCACCTAGTTTTGTCCGGTTACACCCACCCATGTGCTCATCTTGACCAGGTAAACGGTAAAAATCTGCTAAACGAAATCTATTCAACCAGCCTACATGTATATTAAGGAAATTAACATGAGTGTTGTCTTTTGTCAGAATATGAACACATAAATTAAAGACTGACTTTTAAAATCAAGATATTGTGCGACT